AGCCCCTAATGCCCTCCCCACCTACTTCTTTTGGGAAGGGGCGTCTACCCAATCACAACCCTCAAAACAGGCTCTGACAGCAGCTGGGCAGGGCTATAAACATGGAAAAAAGTTGTTGGCTGCACCAAGTCCTATGTGCCAACTTTGGCCCAGGGCTCCAAGGCCAAGTGCAGAGATCAGAAAAAGAGGTTTCTGATAGTGTGCACACATCTTAATACCAGATCTCATAGCAAGTGAAATGGGGCAGAGACTGTGTCCACCTCCAAGTCACATGGGCCACTCTTGCTGGGAGCCACTGGGTTTCAGTAAGGTCAGTTCTCTGGAGTGCCTGTGGTTTTGTGATGAGACGTTGGGTAGGCTGTTGAAGGCCAATGACAGGACAGCTGGGAGAATTTGACCTGTACACACTCAAGGATACTTTCAGTCCTGCCCTCTGCCAAGATTATAGCCGTCACTCCAACATCCATGGAGTTTTGAGGGCTGCCGATGGAGCAGAGATTGGGGCCTCTCCTTGCCTCCCTTCTATCTCAATGTACGTACTCGAGCAAGGCCCTGGATTCTATGTACTTATGCCAAAGGATGTCCAGAGGTGCAAAACTGTTAAAAACACTTGCCCCTATACCCCAACCACAAACTGCCTAACCTCTCCTATTCCAGGGGTGGGTATGAGAGTCCACATTTAACAAGTTCCTTCAGTCCTAGAATTTAGATATTTCCCTCAAAGGGCCTTCTGAAGTCATCTGGCGGACACTGCAATCCCCCAGCCTCAGCTTGGCTGTTAGGATGTTACCTGGGCACCTGAGATCTTAATACCCAGGCTGTATCCCAGATCCAAGAATCATCACCATTAGAGGTAGGTCCAAAGGAGATGCCTCCGATTCTGAATATGGCCGCCACCCACTGACAGGCTGGCCTATGCCCTAGTTACACCATGAGGGATTTAGGTCTAGGTGGGAACGCTCTTTGCCTGCCAAGCTACTAAACTAAATGCAGGCTTCTTCTAATCCTTGGAAGTCTGAAGGAGAAGAAACTGCCCACTGGGTCTGGTAGAAGCAAGGTGTCCAGGCCAGACTCTCTTACTTACTTTCTGGGACCCAGACTCTGGGTATCAGAAGATCTTTGAAGGGAAATACACTGGTCAGGAAAAGCATTCTAGAGTCTCAGCGTCTGAGAAGAGGGATTGGTTTCAAACATCTGTTGGCTCAGATGAGACCAGAGACCCAAATGGAGGAGGGACTGTGAGAGAAGGAAAGTTTAACAATGAGAAAGGTGGCCTGGGCCTGCTTCTAGGTGTCAATAAGGCAACTGGCTGGCTGATCTGCACTGGCTCTGCAGACACAACCCTGGCAGAGTAGAAAGTCAAGGTCAGGGCCAGGAGAACAAAAGGCAAGGCTACCTTGGGGTCTTTGGGGTGTGCAGTTCCCTAGTGCCTGTGATATGGCTGGCAGTCTCTTCTCCCCAGAGCCGAGGGTGCTAGGTGGCAACCACGGACTGGTATGAAAGACATGAAAGGGGTCCTGCAAGGGCTGCTTATTAGTATGGCTTTCCACAGCCCTGCTTCTCATCATCTCTATGGCTGACAACTCTTAGGCCCATCGGTGATCCACGCTCTGAATGCTGACAAAGAGGGTAAGCCAAATAACCCCCAGCTGTTCCCTTTGCCAAAAAGTATAACTGGTGTGGTTGAGTGTGTGGTGCACCAGCTGCCTGGCTTTCCAGCCAGGAGAGGTGAGAGCAAAGTGGATACTTGCCCCTCCCACCAACCAGCTAGTGCCATGGAAATGTGTGCCCAAAGCTGCAAAACCAAGAGCCAAGTCCTCAGTCTCCCTGCCACTTCTTCAGGCCCCAGGGAAGCAGCAGCTGTGCTCTGAAACTGGTTCGTGTCTACACACAGGACAAACATTGTTTCCTTCCTCTCTTCTCTCCCTCCACTTCTTCCTTCTGCAATTTCTATTTGGTATAACCACTTTTAATAGATCACGTGCAGTAGCCTAACAGAAACCACACTTGCTCTTGAACTCGGCAGTCCTCAGTTCACATCTTCTGTCCCTTTCTGTCACTGGTGCTCTTGTGAGTGGACAATGAGACAAGCCATGTACAAGAACCCTCCATACAGTGTCACAGCCCAGGATAAGAGATGACCCACAGGCCCACCAGGAGGTGACAGTGCCTCTAAGCAGAAGATGGCTGAGCAGCTGTTAGAGAGCACAGCAGAGCTCAGTGACGGGAAGGGGGGGTGCAGGGAAGTTTCCAAGTACACTGGGCTGCACGGAAAAGAACCTAAGTATGTACACTATGCTGCTCCTTGGGTAAAAATAAAAGGGCAGGGTGGGGAGGGGATTAAGCAGAATTGCAGGGTTTTCTTTCTTTAAAATAGATCAGAAAGAAACTGCAAAATGCCACCACTTGAAAATTCTGAGTAGTGAGTTCGGGGTTACTGTTACAACTGTTTCAGAGTGTTTGAAACTTTTTTTTTTTAATTAACAATTTAAATGGGAGATATTCTACACAATGTATTTATTCTAGTCATGAAGGACAACTAAAACTTTGAAAGTGTTCACAAAGGGGAAACTGAGGTACAGCACTGCATTTGAAGTGTGTGCTGTGAGGAAAAGGAGTCAAGACATGAGTCCCTAAAGCCTGGTACCAGTCTGTATCCCACAGGAAGGTCCTAGAGGATACAAAGACCTGCTGGGATGTTCCTTGTTCCTTACCTATTACTCTACACTCTATGGACTACTTTGATCTTTTACATGTGAACATGTTACTATTTTTACAAGTGCTTTTTTTTACATTACCAAGAAGTAACAAAATCCTGCAACATCAGGGAGCTGCTCCCAGAGGCTATGGCTCCCACTCCCCACCAGCTCCTCTGCTGTTGCAACTATGGGCCTGGAGGCCGAGGCCATTCGTTTGTTTGCTCAACACCCTGTCCATGCCATCTTCTGTGCTGTCCCCTTGTGGCCTGTGGTAAATGGACAGGTGACCTCAGATGGGCCATGGTGACTAGTCCAGGGGTGAGTACCAATCTAAGTCCAGCCAATCACAATTTCTCATGAGGCTTTTGTCTCCTGGCAAATTCGTTCCTCCTGGTCCTAGACCCTGAATGCCAGTAGCCCAAGCCTTGAGACAGGAGGGGATTCAAGGCACAGGTCCAGAGTGCAGGACAAGAACCAATCTGTTTCGTTCATACTGGATCCTGTCATCTCAAAGCCACCTCCCACACTGCCCTACCCATCTAGTTTGGTTACAGTCACCTCCTCTATATTGTATGCTAGCTAACCAGAAATCTACAGCTTCATGCAAGAAAAACCAAACCCAAGGCTCACACCCTTCATAGTGGTTAGGGATCCTTAGGATCTAGCACTGCCACCTACTATGTATTTCAAGCAGGCTCAAAACCTTTGAGTCTCGGGTGGGCTCCCTGAGCTTCCATTTCCTGCTCCTCTTACAGCTTTCCTGAGGATGGCATCAAACCAGGCACACCGGGAATCAGAAAAATTACCACCACCATGAAAATAGCTAACACCCACTACCTTCAGAAGAGCCCGTTTACAAACCAAACTGGAGATAGAGGGGCAGGAAGGGCAGCTGGGATCACTTTTTCTTCTGGGATCAGATTCCCTCTGGGCCTTGAGAATAAATGTCCATGTGACCTGCAAGTTCCCCTGGCCTTGGACTAGGCCTTCAGCAGATGCCACTGATGAGCAGGCCAGTGAGGGACTCAGGATGCTCATTCCAGGGGAGTCCTCATAGCCCACTGCATTCCCTGAATGGCAGTCATGGCTCCTAGGTGCCCCTGAACCCTCACCCACCCCACGGGTACAGGGGTAGAGTGGCAGCCCAGTGCTGGCCTGGATTCTGCTCTCCCCCAGCCTTTACTCCCACTTTGGCAGCAACCTTCCTCAAATTACCCAGCCTGTGAGTATAATCTGCTTTTTGTAGGGGCTCCAACTAGTTGACAGTGTTGCTCTTCTGGTCTCCTCAGGCCCTGGCCAGATAAAACCCAGTTCTTCCAAGGATGCTGCCCTAGGGTCTCAGCCACTGTACTCATTCCACTTCAGGTTTCAGTGGCCAGGCAGGTCTGTCTGAAATCTGCCGACCTCAAACCTGAAGAAATAACCTCTGATGAGAGGTGGCTGCCTGCCTCTGATGGACAGCCAGCCTCTACAGGAGACACACAGGGCACACCTGGCTTGCAGAAGCTTCCAGAGAGCAGATCAGTGATTCTGCACACCAAAGATACCTGAGAGTGTATTTATAGAAAGATACAGAGACACGGACAGGCGGCATCTACCTATAGATACAAAGGCTGCTAAGAGTCACACAGTGTTTTTGCTGATGGCGGACTCGGGGTTTCCACACCTCTGCCATAGACAACACAACGGTATCATCTTGGAAAACCACACTTGTTGATGTGGTTGCTTCTCTCTGTAGTAGTTTCCCAAATGAGAAAGCTGGTTTCGAAGACAATCCTTAAACAGTTGCATCCTTCAAAAGCAAAGATGGGCACAAGAGAGGGGTACTTCCACATTGTGCATGGCAAAAAAAAAAAAAAAAAAAAAAAAAAAAAAGACGGGGCTGGCATGGGCCAAGGGCATGTTCCTTCCAGAAGGGTGAGGAAGTAACTCCAGACAGCACAGCTAAGGTATCTAGGTTTGCTACGGTGTCTAGGTTGGGGTGTGAAACAGGACAGCAGGGACAGCAGGGAGGGCGCTTTTGGCTGAAATGCCCTGTAGCACATTACAATCAGTTAAGGGTGAAGTCAAATCAGAGTAACACTAAGAGGTAGCAGCTGTTGGCCTCTGGTGATCTTGAAGGTCTCTGAAGCTGGGCCAGGCAAGGGGGCTCTCCTGGAAGAACTGGAGATGCTGCTGGGCCAGTTGGGCTGAGGGCTCCTGTGCTGAGGAAGATCTGCGTAGACCCTGCAGCCAGGGAGGCCCAAAGATCCTTCCAAACCCAGAGTCACTTCTTGGGTGAGTTATGCAATCCCCACAACATATAAATAAAAGTTTAGTTCTGTGTTTCCATATATCCTCTACATGAAGGCTAGCTAAATATTAGTGGAATAACAATAATTAATAACAATTGTCATAATAACAATAATTAATAGAATAATGCCTTGGGGTGTTGGGGTGAGTCCTTCATGTGTGGCCAGGCAGGGTCTAGCTAGGGCTGATAGAAGTGGTGGTAGTGGTGGTGATGTTCATGGTGGTGGTGGTGCTCATGTCTCTGGATCGCCTGCCCAGCCTGGCTCTCATATACCACCACAGTAGGCAGCTCCCTCACTTGCTCCCGCCCTGTGACGGTGGAGCCTCCTGCAGCCAGTGGGGCCTGCAGGCCCCGGCAGCCGGCTTGGCTCTCCTTGGCTCGGTGCTTGTGCTTCTTGTGGCCTGGGGGTGCCAGGGTGGGGAGGGCTGGGCTGGTGGCCAAGTGGGTAGAAGGGGACAGAGTGGGGGCAGTAGGCACCAGTGGGGGCTTGCTTCTTGCCCCTCTGGCCACATGGTTCACTCCCACACTCTTGCCCTGGGCCTTGGGGGACCTTACAAAGTGCTTGCTCCCATCCTGAGTACCTCGGAGCCGTTGCTGGAGTTCTGAGACTTTGGAGAATGGGGTGTCAAGGAGGTGGAAGGAACCTAGGTCCACACCCTGGGGCCTCCGGTGTGGGACGTGGGCAGCTTCTGGTTCATGGGAGCGAGAGCGAGTGGGGTTGGAGGTGCGGGGGGGCAGCTCTGACTTCTGGGCCACGGAAGGGGAGCCTAGGAACCAATCCAACAGACACTTCATGAGCACCCACTGTGTGCACTGGGGTTGCCCCAGTTCCCCATCTGCCAGATGCCATCTTCACTCTAGCCGAGCTGGCTACCCTCCATCGCCCCTTGCTGTGCCAGTGGAACTTCCCCACCTGCTGAGAAGAACTGGGTACATCTCTGAGAAGGGAAAAGGAGAGGTGGTGACACGTACATGGAAAACTAAGGTTGGTGGAGCAGGAAAGAACTCAGAGTGTACAGCAGGAATCAAGAGAGAACTCAACCCAGGAGGAAGCAGTGAAGGAGTAGGGGAGGGAAGTGAGGTGGAAGGGATTCGGATAGACAGCACCATTTCCCTAGACCAAACAACCAACAGAGCTGTGGCTGTGTGTGGCTGGGATGGCTGAGGTGAGCAGGAACTATGGCTGTCACTTGATTCGAAGCCTTCTCATACTCTGGATTTTGGTCAGCTTTGTACATGTGTTACTTTTATTTGGAAGTGTTTTTAATGTCACCTCCTCTGAGAAGAGTCTCTGACCTGTCTAGTAAAAGGTACATCTCCCCCCAGCCCACAGGGAACAGTGCCCACCACCTGGCATGTGTGTCCAGCCCCAGCCCATACAGCCACCCCTTACCAGGCCCAAACTGAGATGTGTAGTTTTCTATCCCCGCCAGGTCTAGGTAGTGGTTTCTCCTTTCAATGTTCTCATCCACACAATGGTGATGGCAGCCCAGCTGCTCCAGGTAGCTGTCACCCTGAAACCTGTGATAAGAAGGATATAAGTGCGTGGACACTGACCCTGAAGGCTGCAGGAAAGCCACAAGGTCAAATGCTTGGCTTGTCACTCATTCTCCTCTGTCTTAGGAGAATGAAGGTGGGGGACAGAAACCTCTGCAGTTTGTGCCTCCATTTCCCATATTTCTCCATGCCCATCGCCTGCTCTCTGATGCTCCTGGGATGAGGATGGGGTTCTGCTTTGAACAGTCCCAAAGCAAGAGTGAAGGGACACTGCTCAAATTCAAGGAAGCTCCAAAACCAACCTCCAAACCACACACGCCCACTGCAGGCAGACCTGGGTCCTCCTATTAGTGTGGGCAGAACAGCCTCAAACTATTGGATTTGTTTTTTCAACTTAGGCTCCATGACCTGTCTGAAAGCCTAGCACAGGCCTCTTCAGCTCTTGAGAGAAGCGGTGAGAATGAGTAAGAACACATTAAAAGTGGGGTTAAGAGATGGCTCAGGGGTTGAAGCACTGACTGCCTGGGTTCAGCTCCCAGCGCCCACAAGGTGGCTAACCGTCCCTAACTCAAGTTCCAGGAGACCCGATGCCCTTTTCTAGCTTCAGTGGGTACCACACAACACAGATGCATTTACATACATGCAGGCAAAATACTCATGCATATGCATGCCCATGGGGAATGGAAGGAGGCACTGCCACAGCCCTCCTTTGAAGCACAGCCTCAACGATTGCTGCAACCAGCCCCCCACCTACCTATGTTCCAGTCTATGCCCTAGCCCCACCCATCTCTAGCCAGTCTGGATGCCTGTACTCCAGCTCTCTGCCCACCCAGCACACACCAGCATGGCCTCATTCTCAATGCTCTTCACACAGGACTGGTCCTTCTCCAGCCATGCCCTCTTTGCCCATCAGGTGTGATACTTGCCTGCTACGGACCCCAATGCCATGACTGGGTGTTTCTCTTTGAACAGCCTTTTCCCTCCCCTCCCCTCCCCTCCCCTCCCTCCATACAGAAGTGACAACAGGGGACAGATAACTGCAGATTTGAAAGAACTTACCCACAATTCTTAAACCCTAAAGTCTCAAAATTTCTCTTAGCTCTCTGGTCAGTGGGGCCATCCTAAGGGATGGGAGCATTTGGGATCTTGTGTCACTAGTATGAACAAACATGCACATTCCCCACCACAAGTATGTTAGGTCTCAAGATGCTGCCCTAACCCTTCTAGTGCACAGGAACACCCACATGCTGAATCCAGACCATATGGGAAGAATCTAAAGGATTTTATATGGAACTGTGTCTGTCTGTATTTATTTATTTTTTTAATTTAAGAGTCTGATTTGTGAATCTGTGCTTCTGAAATCTTTGGCCCCTGCAGGGGACCCAGGATAGAGCCTCCTGCTCAAAGTCCTTCAGATGCCTGTACCCAGCTGGTGCTCAATACACACAGGCACCAGGCTGCTGCCTCTGCGTGTGTGCCATACCTGAGAGGGGCTCGCTGCTTCTTCTCCCAGGCACGCAGCTCCTCGGCAGTCTTGGTCTCTGCCCGGGGCCTCGTGTTCTGCAGATCTGAGCCCCAGAGGCCCAAGAAACACCCGTCAGCTACCTGTTCCTGTCAGGCCAGGGACTGCCTGGCACTCTGCCCTCAACAGGCACCCATAGCAGTTCACCACAGCTCTATAGCAGGGTCCCTCAGCTAAGACAAAACCAGCTGCCTGTCCCACTCAGTTCCCCAGACTCAGCTGTCCTCCGAGGCCTGTCCTGCACTCTCTCCACTACATGTCCCTGCAGCTGCTTGCTACACCCAACCCCATCTCTATGCCTCTGCCTCTTCAGGCCTTCCACCTGCAATTCCCTCCACCTCTTCCTTCTTGAAGCCTATTCCTTCAAGGGCCTACCAAAGCCCTTCAGCACACCAAGAAGCTACCTGTGGAAACCAGGCCACCCTTCTACCCTCCTAGGCTGGCCTGGGTTCTTCCTGTCCTTCCCTAGGTGGGTATCCATTCTGCCACCCTCACCAGTGTGGTTGAAAAGAACACTCCTCTTGCTCTGGCTCCCGTCGGGGGCCACAGTGAGCTTCACCCGCAGTGTCTTGCTTGATGTCGGGGAATGGTTCACAGAGGAGTCAACCACCTCATAGATGGTGTGCAGCAAGCTGGTAATGTCCTGTTTGGGAGGAAGGGAGCACTCCATGGGCTTCAGCCACAGCTCAGTGCCACACCACAGGAACCCAAGGGCTGGTGGTTACTGCAGGACTGAAGCCCCCTGGATCCTCCAAGGAGAGCTGGAGGCAGAATTCCAGGCATGGGAAGATATCCCAAGGGTGAGGAGCAGGGGGTGGAAGGGTAGAAACTTGAAAACTCAGAGTGGACTGTGATTGTGAGCCACTGGGACCCTCGGCAGAACACAGGGAACTGCCCTGAATAACCTTATCCAGGCAGGGGAGGACTTTACAAATGGGGTCTCATCTCTCCCAGGTGAGAGGTACCCAAGGATTCTACATGCCTATGCTCTTAGAGGGAAAAATGGCGATGAAGTTGTGTCCTTGCTGTGGAACTGCATTCTGTCACACCCATTCTACTACTGAAGTCATTCTCGTAGTCACTGTGGCTGGAGACAGGGGTGATGAAGATGAATGAGTTCCTGGAGCGGAAGCTATGGGGCTGGTGGCCTCACCAGAAGGCGGGCATGTGCAAACGGGTGCTGCTATTCTGCAGATCTTGAGGCTCACTTGCTCTCGAGAGAGCATGGTGAGAAGGCAGACACCCAGAGGCCAGAAGGAGCGCTCTCACCAGAACCATTTCTAGACTTCCAGCCTCCAGGACCAAGCAGGTCAAATTCTGTTGTTGAAGCCACCCAGTCTTGGTAGCCCAAGCTAAAAGTCACTGAAAGATAAACTGATCTGTGAGAACATGACCAAATATCTCTGGGCCTCAGTTACCTGCTAATCCAGAATGGGGACTCCAGTGATGCTCTACAGTCTCAGAGACTTCTGACTGGAGTGGAGGGTACTGGCTTCCCTCATTAGGGTTTCCTTGGTCTGGACATCTAATCATCTGTCTGAGGGATAGCTGTTTGCTTTAAATGACACCGAATCCACCAGGCACCTAGTTACCTGCCTGGTGATTTTTCATGAGTTCTCACAAGACTTAACCTTCCTCTACCTTCCCTTAGCTGAGGCAGAGGTGACCCCTGTGCCTCTATAGCTAGGCAGATGCATAATCGCTGACAAGTGTGGAGGCTCCATCTTTGCACAGGCTTGCCCATGGGAGGTGGTGGACAGTCTACTAGGCTGACTCTATAGGTACAGAGAAGCCAGAAATCCAGACTCTTTTGTGAGATATTCCATATCATTGACATCTAATTAAATTTTTTAACAAAAGCATTGGAGGGACACATGAGGACAGACTGGGGTGTGGGGACCACCAGTTTGAGACACAGCCTCCAGGTGCTCATTCCTGGCTCATTGGATCATCTCGGCTCTGGCAAAGCTACACAGAACTCTTCTCTCTGTCCTTCCCAAGAGCTCCCCTGCAGTCATGCTGCTCACACTCTTGCACCATCTTCTAGAGTCATGACAGAAGTGTCACTGGACAAATGAGGAAACCAAGGGCCACCAACAGCACTTCTCAAGTGTTATTATAGGCCTTAGAAGGTCTATGGTCTCATTTTGTGACCTTAGCACAAAAGGCTGGTTTGGGGAAAAGACAGGCATGCTTTGCTTTGATCTTGAAAACCAGGGTCTAGCACACAGAAGTGACTGACACACTCTAGACCTTCAGTGTCCCACAGGTGTTCAATGTGGCAAGGGTGTGAGCCCAGTGTGGCACTACTGGGAGCTGCTGGAGCTTTTAGCAGGTGAGGCCTTGTGGAGAGGCCTTTACAGCATTGGAGGTATGCTCCCAATGGGGACTGTGGGACCCCCCAGTCTTTTCTCTCTCCTTTTGCTCCCAGGCCTTGAGGTGAGCAGTTTTGCTTTGCCATGTGCTCTCGCTAGAACATGCTGCTTTGCCACAGGCCCAAAACAACAGAATATACACAGAAGGCTCTTCAGCATCTCTGAGCTACAGAGTGAAGAAGGTGGCAAAGGGCTGGTCATCGTTGTTGCATGTGTAACAAGTGGTGATACCACAGATGCCCCTACGCACTCTGCAAAGTAACCATGAGGTGCAGCTCTGGAAGTTCTGTGGACATTCTGAATGGGAGGGATTGCTGATAGGGCTGGATATAAGCAAAAACCGACAGCACTTACTCCCACAGAGAGTCTGTATGGTAATAAGAGACTGCAAAAGGAACAATCACCTGCTCCTGCACATACTGTGCCTCTGGATACAGCTGTACCTGAAGTCAGCCCTCCCGAGCAGAATTTCAGGTACATGAGCCAATGTACTCCTTTTGACATTACCTACAGTAGAACAAGCTAGGATTCCATCACTTACAGACCATGGTCCTGAATGGTTAAATATCAGTCAGCCTCTTTTCCACCTGCTCTTATATACCCTAAGTCAACAGCTTGGGGGAAGAGGTAGGCTTTATAACTCAGGTCTCCCTCTGGGACCATTCACTGGGCCACAGGGCCCACCAATCTGAGTGCACCAATCTATACAGGTGCAAAGCACAATTCGAAATAGCCTCACCTCACAATACAGGTCTCGTGAGGAGGCAGAGGTGTCAGCGAGTGACAGGGAGAGAAGGAAACAGGAAATAGGGAAGGATGCCCAGTCTGAGCCCACATAGGCCTCTTCTGGAGACAGAGGGAAGGATGCCCAGTCTGAGCCCACACAGGCCTCTTCTGGAGACAGAGGGAAGGATGCCAAGCCTGAGCCTGCCTTGGCATCTTCTGATACCTGGAGTGAAACGTCGGTAGCTTTCAGGGCCTCAAAGGCCCACTGTGTCCCTCCTGTGAAGGGGCCACAGAATGGTCTCTTTTAGTTCCTTAACCACCCTTGTGCTGCGGTGATAAGTTGGACAGATGCCTTCCCAGGCCAGCATGTTCCATGGCTGACCCAGCTTAGCACTGGACTGCTCTTCCAAGAAGCTGCTCTCTGCCCCACCACTCACTTTCTTTAACTGAGCACATCAAAGCTCATGACTGTCCCACTGGTGTTTCCAGCCTCTCTTATCAGGCCATGAGAGAACTGTGACTGTGTCCTCCCTGCTGAGTCCTCAGCCTGGTAAGAAGTTGGTACACAATTTGCAGAGACAGGCATGGAGAGAGTGAGAGGAACTTGGTAGTAGTTGTGGCAAGAAGGCTCTGAATCGGGGCGAGGGGCTGAGAGTGGCTCTTTAGATGGATGCTCCACGCTGTTTCAATGCAGGAGGCATTGTGTGATCCTGGGGGCTCACTGAAATGGTTAAGGGTGGGTGCTAGAGCTTAGGGACTGCAGGGAGAAGGAAGTAGGACAAGATTGTTGGGGTCTGGGGGTCCTTCTCCACGGAGGCCTTGGGCTCTACACTGCTTTCTGTCCTTCCTGGCATAGGAACCCCCTGACCCAGGGTAAGTGCAGGTTGTGTGGCTGCCCTTTGCTCTCTGTCCCATTTTCCCACTCACTGAGAACTTGCAGGATGCTCCCAGCAGCCTTGCTCCCCCACCCTTGTCTGCCAAGGAGGTGGAAGGGGCAGCAGAGGCATGCTAACCAGGTCATGAGCCTCAGGGCTGGCAGGTGGCAGGAGGCCGAGTCAGCACGCTCACCTCACGGGTGACTTTGCCATTGTTGTCGAAGTCATACAGGGTGAAAGTCCACTCCTGCCGGCTGTCCTCCTCCACAGACACATCACACTGAAGTTCCTGGACAGACAGACAGGTGGTCACCTATTGGCTGGAGGGGGGCAGGTCCTGGTCCCAAGGGCAAGGCCATGTGTTATACTATAGCAAATACTTCAGGGGCAGAATGAACACTTGGCAAGTGTCAGGTGGGTGGGCCTACAAATACATGTGCCTATTCACATGCCTGCACATATGCATTGTACACACAGTACTTGGAAGCTCTGTCACTTGTCTGTCCCCTGACCACACTGCTTGTTCTGCAAGGCAGGAACCACAGCCAGTTCACTGGTCTACCAAGCTGCAGGGCCTTGTCAGCACTGGGGAGGGGAGAGGAAGCCTCAACGGTGGCAGGCAGGGCACTCTTTTGAGCACTCTAGGTTGGGGCTTCCAAATGCTTCCAGAGCCCCCCTCCAGAGCCCCCAGAAGACACCCGCTATCCCCACAGCCCAGGGGAGCCTGAAGTATGAAGGGACATGGCCTGAAGTCATAGCTGCTCTGCCAAGTGTAGCGTTGTGCCCTGTGACCTGAGGAAGGAAGGCAAAGGGAGGGGAGCAGAAAGAGCAGGAGGTGCCAGTGAGTTCCACAGCCACTGGGTCTGCCTCTCAGACCTGTGCTTGGTGCCCGGAAGGAGCTCATACCCCCACCTCTGCCCTAGCCCCCCTGTTGGGACTGAGTAAAGGCAGGAAGACAGGCTGTGTGCTCTGGGAGCACCCACCCCTCGTATCAACCACATGGTTTGGAAACTGAGGACCAGATGAAATTGGAGCCCTGCCCAGGACCTTCTGCCTCGGCTTCTTCCACCCTACCAGAAACATACATTGTGTCCCAGGTCACAGAGCTAGAAGGGAGGGTTTGAGAAATCAAGGTCTTTGAAGATAACAGGCATGAGGGCCAGAGTCCTGTCTCCCTGCATGTACACAAGCCCTGTCCTGGAGTCCTAGCTGTATGCACTGGCTACCACCCATGTGGAGAGACCAGGGCCGAGCTGAAGGGGCCTTGTGCTAGGTGTGGTACCCTGGAAGCAGTAGGAGAGATCTCCCACAGAAATATCTGTCCATACAAGAGGTAAGAGGCCCTCCCACTTAGATATGCCTCAGTTTCCCCCTTGCAGATCACCACCATGAAGTCACGGTCCTCAAAAGGAAACTTACTTCAAACTTCAGCTGCTTCTTAGCACCTGGGCCAGATACACTCACTTCCTCCACCCTCTTCTCATCTCCACTGCCCAAGCCATCAGTCTTCTCAGGTGGTAGGGCCACTGTGGAGAGGTACAGGAGAAAGTAAGAGTCCAGGGTGGGTGGCCATACTGTATCCTTCGGTCAGCTATGACTGACACCCTTACAGAGTGCTGGCCCCTCCTCCTCTGTCTATTGGATGGGCTTCACAGTTTTTGGCTCTCTAGCCCTGGTGATACCCCAGGCTACCTCAGGAAAACCCTTTGTGGTATGGCCACACCAGTCACTCAAGTTTCCTTGTGGCCTCTCAGACTCCCACTCTGCCCCAAATTTGCAGCCTAGATAAGCAGTCTGCGATTCAACACCCTGTAGAAACAACCAGACACTTAGCAGGGCTGGTCATAGAGAGGTGTACTGGGGGCAAGGGAAAATGATACCCCCTAGAGGGAGAACAGGAACCACAGTCTTATTTTCATTTTATTTTTTTGGTCTTTTTGAAACAGAGTCTCCCTGTAGCCCCAGTTGGCCTGGAACTCACTATGTAGATCAGGCTGGCCTCAAACTCACAAAGATCTGCCTGCCTCTGTCTCCCAAGTGCTGGGATTAAAGGCATGCACCACCATGCCTGGCTGGACCACAGTCTTCTATAGTCTCTGTGTCTTTCCACTGACTTGTAGTCTCCTCAAAGATCCTGAGCACAGAGTCTGTTAGTGGATAGAGCGGAGGGACGGAAACTGAGCTCAGGCAGCTTAAGGACATGTGCATGTGTGAAAGCACATACCCACAAAGACAACTGATTGAACAATGCTGTGCATCACACAATGGCCTCTTCAGGGAGTGAATTCACCTTTGTCCTTGGCCTCTGCTCATCTGAGGTCCTCCCCTCAGTCAAAGGGCATGATACTCTATGGGCCTGCCATCCAGGAGCAGAGGGATGTGAAATCTGTGACCTATCGGCACCATTTCCTGTGTCCAGGAGGTGCCAGGAGGACAGTCTTGGTAGTATCATCATCCTAGACCCAGGACCCAAGTCACAGGCTCCACCATGACATAGAGTGTTCCTTGGGAGTCCTTTGGCCCCTTTTGCTTTGTCTCTGGGTGATATAGTGGGGCTCCAATTTGCTTTTCTAAAAAATGTTCCCAGCTTTCCCTTCCTCAGAATCCTTTGCTATTCCAGGGCAGTGACTTTGCTGTCCTATTTGGTAGGAAAACAAATCGAGTGTGGCTCCTAATCTGAGGGTGATCAGGCTGCCTGAAGCGCTATGAGGGCAGCTGAGAAGCCTCAGACAGACTCAAAGTGCCAGCTGGACTTTCCTGGGATGTCAAGACCCTGGAAAAATTAGGCACAGGCAAGGAGACTGGATGGGGGCTCTGCCTCTGCCCTGTCACACTCCATTCATATCCCCGCCAGCTTTGTAGTGAGCAGCCAAGAACAGCCAATGAGGAGGGCATTGGGAGACTCCAGGGGTGGAGGAGGGGTACAGCCACCCTGCTTTGCCCCTGTTCCCTAGGTCAAAGCTCTCGTCCTGGCAGCTATGTACAGCAGTCTTGTTGTGTCCTGGAACCTTGGCTCCACTGAGCACAGCAAGAGCACCAGGCTCACACAGCACTAGGCTCTACCATGCTCAGCACTGGCTGTTCATAGTTTCTGTCTTCACTGTGACCTTGTGAGGCAGTTACTGTTATCAGCTCCATTTTCCAGATGGGAAAACCGAGGTATAAGAATGCTCCTGGTTCCCAGAGGCTACGGTGGCTACAAACTGGCCCAGAGCAGTGGCTCCCCTCCTGACTGGACCCAGGAGACCCTTCCTCCTCTCTTCCTGCATTAGCATAGCCAACACGCATACGAGTCTCCAGCCCTTAGGGACCACTGAGGCACCAGCTCCCTAGTGCCACTGGGAGTGCTAGCCATGGAGTGGTCTATTACACAGAGTAAGTCCAACAAAGCACAGCACTAGACCAACCACCTCCTCAGAAGGCTGCAGGCCCCTGGCCCCTACTACTTCAGATTCTACCTGTAACAATCCTGCCCTGATCCTACTGGCCAGACACCCCAGTAGGGGACCCCAAACCCAGGAAGATCAGGGTGGTGATTGGCTAAGGACTCAAGGACAGTCAAGCACAGACTACTTAATGCATCTGGTGCCACTGGACTACAACTGCCAGCACATGTCCAAACAGGGCCCATGATGTGGCCATGTCCTCCAGGCCACAGGGTAACGGGCCCTCCTGCCACTCCTTGAGCCAGGGCACTCTGCTCCTCATCTCCAGCACTAGCTGAGGTCCTTGGCTCTGCTTGCTACCAGCATCACTGGCAGGCACAGCTGGACTACACAGGAGCACAGGAGCATCATGATTGATAGGGTCATTTTGGATTCCTACTTTTCTGACCCAGGCAGCCTTGGACAAGAGACATTTGATGTGCTTGGATCCCAGTCTTCAGGAAGTCTGTAAAGTGGGAACGTGGTAGTGTCTCCCTCTCTGAGCTGTTGGTTCCCAGCAGACAGCATGAAGATAGGCAAGCCCTCAAGAGAGGACTACAAGGAAACTACTGGGAAAACACCAGGGCAGGCACATAGCAAATGCTCAGTACATGCTGAGCCATGGTCCCTGCTAGTGACCCAGGTCTGAACAATGCCCCTTGCACCAAAACTGCCCCTCCCAAGGAACTATAGAGGCAACACAGCCTGCAGCATCCTCTCCTCCTCCCTCCCAGAGGAAGAAGCAGAAAGGAAAACAAAACCCAGTTCCATCTTCAAAGCCACTGCCTGGCTCTGTAGAGGTCCCGCTGATGCAAGCTGGTCAGGCTTATCGAAACCTGACTTCAAGTTCAAAGGGAAGTTATCAGACAAGCACCTCCAGGTTCAACATGCCTTTCATGTTCCACTTGATAAACCCATAGACAAGACACCACTGTTCCATTCTCTCCACTGGAGCGTCCTTGCTGGCATGCTAGAAAGCATGTCTTCCTTTAGGTCCTCTCCCACCCCTTCCTTTCTCTTCACTTGGGTGGGGGGCAGTGGGTCTCCCATGCTATCCTAGCCCAACACACCTCCAGGACTCCCCCACCGCACCCCAGGGTGGCCAGATCAGCAAACATGGGCAGGCAGAAATGGGCAACAGGCCTCCCTAGAGTCATGGGCAGGGTTAAGACTCACTGGCACCCTCTGCCCAACCAAAGAAGTCCTTTCACCTCTACAGCGCCCTGACCAATCTCAGAAGAGGTGGCAGAGAACACACAGAAAGCCACATAGACCTAGGATCAGAGGCAAGGGTAGAACATTGATACCTGGCCTGTGATTCACAGATGAGCCCCCTGAAATCAAAGCAAAGCAAACAACAGCATGCTCAGACAGCCAAGCAGAGCAGACTGTTTCCACCTGGCTATGGCCACTGGCACCTACAGAACGGGCAGGGCCAGGCAGATAATGCTCACTACAGGCCACCCAAGTCACACAACCCAGAGACAAGAAGGGCACTATGCTGCCAAGAAGAACACTGGAACCTGAGTCCTCTCTCTTGTTCCTGCTCGACTCTGCTGTTTGCCTGAGACGATCTTTCCAAAGTACTCCAAGCATGCTCCACTGTAAGACAGAGCCACTGCAGGGCACACCACTAATATGACAGGAGAAAAGAAAGCAGGGAAAAGGGAGATGAGGAAGTAGGGAAGGAATGCCTTCCCCTGCCCAAGAAGCACCACTGGGTGGCATGCAGCAAGGTGGCAAATGTACCCAGAGAGCCAGCCTGTGGCCTGGCTTTGTAAATAAAGTTTAATGGGACAAAAGACATTCACAGTGTCTGGTTGCTTCTACTCTACACAGGAGAACTGAGTCCAGTTATCACAAGAGAACTCATGACCTAAACAGCCTAAGATAGGCACTGCTTGGTCCTTTCCAGAACTTTTGAGGATTGCTGCTTTAAATGAATGCAGCCCTTTGCCCCTACCAGGGTACATGCTTGATGAGCAAGGCCCGGCCAGACTGGAAGTCACTGTTGTCTTACTGTTCAGCTGACTGGATGTCCTTGTGCAGTGTACAACCTGCTCAACCATTTACAGTGGCCACAGAAGAACAATATCAATTCTACTTTTTAAAAATTGCTTTTCAGCCCAAATGAGCCTGGGGGCTGTTTGTGGAGATCCTTCTCTTTGGAAGCTGCTTCCTGTCTCTCCTCACACTGAGGCCACAGCCACAAAGCTGGCTGAGTTTAGAAAATGATGGTTTCTCTCTGCATGAGCTGTGCCTGGCTGCTCTCCACCCCCAGCAACTGCCAGATTAAATGCATTACTTGACCATCTTCACCCGGCTCCCTTTGAAGTTCCCTTCTCAAGCTTCAAAATACCTTTTGGAGGGAGATCAGACAGCATTAAACAGAATTACTAATTAATTAAGCAAAGTTAAATTTTAAACACTGTTTGTTGTGTTAGCCAAAAGCCTGAACAGAACAGACTTCTTTCCTCCACCGAGATCAAAGACAGCCTCTTCCCTCTCCCCTCCCCCAGTTTAAAAAGAAAAAGGAAGGAGGAGAAAGAGGGAAGAGACTTGGGAAACAGGGCAAGGTGGCAGCTGTGATTAGGGTCTGCACCCTCCAGTCCTGCCCCCACAGGCCAATGGGAAGTACCAAGGCTCCCTTGAGACCACATGTTGGGTGAGCTCCCATCACTTTCTGGGGACTGTTTTCCCTGGCAAACAGCAGTGACCCAGGGAGCTGCCTGGCACAGCCCACCCAGCCTGAGCTGCTGACAGCTGGTGCCACCCAAACAGTAGGCAGAGGAGAGGGATGGGAGACCAAGATGACCCTCCTAGTGCAACAGCGCCCTCCTGAGCTGCTCGGGCCATGCACACCTGAGGCTCTTACCCTGTAGAGGGTCTCTTGGGGTCACCGGGAGACAGGCTCTGAGAAACAGGCTGTGCACTGCCCAGTTTGGGAGAGCCATTCACACAAAAGACACCAGAGATGTACATAGTGCTTCTGATATTTCTCAACAGCTGACAGACAGGTGTGGAAGGAGGCATGCCTTCTTTTAATTGGTACAAATACATCTCAGCTGGAAGGGCATGGTCTGCCTCCATTCAGTCTGGCA